TTTTGGACTGATGCATGCAACACCCGCTGAGTGCCATTAAACAGCTTGAAAGATCAAAGACAATTTTTTATATAACTCCGACTGGATTTGTCTGAAAGAAGAAAGTCATATACACCTAGGATGACTTTAGGGTGAGTAATTTATGGACTAATTTTCATTTTTGGGTGAACTAACCCTTTAATGATCATCAATCCAGCTCTGAACTGCTAACTGTGGACTTATTTCTGTTGAAATAATGTGCATTGTGAAAAGCACTATACAAATAAAACTGACTTGACTTTCACTAATTGTACCCAACAGTTAGACATTATTTTGACAATTTGTTGAATAATATACATTAAATTAATTAATATCACAGAAATAAATATTATCTAACATTAAATGTATTGCTCTACACTATAAATTATTATTATTATTAATTAATCAATCAGAATTAGTCATATTTATTCAGTAACCAACATTTTGCATGCAACAGTTACCATAAAGTAACATTATAATATTAAGTATATAATCTCTTTCAATTTTCTACATTTTTACATAAATTGTCATGTTAACTAAAACTTTTTTTTTTTTTAAATAATTTTGTTAATTAAAATAAAGCTGAAAAAGAATAAAAATATTTCATGAAAAACTTAAACTTAAAACATTAAAAATGTTGCCTTGACAACTAACATTAATGACTAAGTTCAAGTTGGAGTGCTAAAACTACTAAAACAAAATGATAATGACAAAATTATAAAATAAAATTATAATGATAAACTTAAAAAAATTTTAATCAAATGAAATTATTAAAATATTATTTTATTACTAATAAACAACAGCATAAATAAAACTAAAATACCACTAACATTGTTACCAAAGTTACTATAAGAAAAAATAAACAACCGTTTGTCTTTAATTTACGAAAAATATAAGTTGATCATCATAACTTCCAACCAACAGCAACCCTGTGACTCATTCTGTCTTTCCTGATGTTTAAGTGCTTGCTTTCACTCGTCTGTTGCTGAAAAACACCCTATTCATGGACAGTGCGTCCTGCTCTTCTGCAGTGAGCATTACACAGGGATCCATAAGATATAAACAGCTGTTTGTGTAATGTAATAAAGGGTCATGAAACCCCCATATTTCAGCGCAGGTTGTTCACGTCTCAGCATTGAAAAGCCTCAAGAAACAGAGGTGGAAAGGTGTGAGAAACGGAGAGTGTAACAACCCTCTATAGAGCACTTCTGAGAAAGAAATGAGAACAGCAGATGGAGCAGCACTGCCAGAAGAAAGCAGGACTGCTTTGGGACATATAGCATAATTATCTTAGCAAAGATGTAATCTCTCATTTACACTATCAGTATCTAAACATGATGTCTTGAACAGCATGAAAGCACCCTAAACATTTATCACTTTCAAAAGCTTCTCTTTCTTCCAGACCTTTGAGCAACGGTCCAACCTGCTGACCAGCAGTGATAAATGACTGATTGATCTCTGGAAGACTGTAATTTGTAGGGCTGGGTAAAAAAAAATATCGATATCTCGATATGAATCGATTCTCATTTTTATGGAACGATATCGATTCCTAAATCCCAAGAATCGATTAGTCTAGCCTGTTTTCAATTAATGGACGGAACATTGAAGGGTACTTCCCATCCAATAAATCGCAATGGTACTTTGGTACTTTTAATATGAAAAAGTCTCAGATTTCAAATTCTGTCCATTGTATTAGGTAGTATTCAAACAATAAATGCCGTTTTGGCACTGTTTAATCTGGAAAACTCATTAGTCAGATAGAAAAATAAACTGTAGAGAGGGGAATTTTGCTTAATATATGCAGCATATAACATATTCATTATAATTAATTACTGTTCTTTAATGTTTAATTTATGTTTGAATAAATCCATCAAGTTTTTATGACAGCCACCATTTAAATGTTTATATTAAAAAAAACGAATTGAAGTACGTTAGAAATATTAATATGTAACTGTAACTTTACTATTGTAAAAACTTCATTAATTTTAACCTTCAATATTATAGTAATGTTGTACCAACTGACTCTCATGTATATTTTACAGCATTAGTTGAGATTTTTTTTCCTTGAGAAAATTTGGCATGTACTGTACCTGATATATATCCAAAATAATCTATACTGAATCGAATCGAATGGAATTGGTAATCGAATCGAAAGCTTGTGAACGAGAATCGAATCGAATTGTGAAATTTGTGCCAAAACCCAGCCCTAGTAATTTGGGTTAGTTGGCCATGTCACACAGCTGAGAGCCCTGCAGTGATATGACAGCAGGTCTTATGCAGGGGTGTCCAAACTCGGTCCTGGAGGGCCGGTGTCCTGAAGAGTTTAGCTCCAACCCCAATTAAACACACCTGAACCAGCTAATCAAGCTCTTACTAGGCATACTAGAAACTTAAAGGCAGGTGTGTTGAGGCAAGTTGGAGCTAAACTCTGCAGGACACCGGCCCTCCAGGGCCGAGTTTGTGCAGCCCTGGTCTTATGGGACCGATAGATCAGGACTGCCATCTGCTGGACACTTGAGTTGGGACACAGCTCATATAATGCAGGCCATATGAGATGCATGCTGGAAAACTTGGGCAGATCAGCTCCAGGAAGACCCGAAACTGATTTATACGCCTTATTTAATTACTCCTAGCAGATGCAGAATTAGAGATTCTGTTGTTTTTTTTTGTCATGAGTGTAAACTGCTGATATGCCTGTACAAATATCACTGATAACCTCTAACATCTCACACATGAATCAATGATCAGCATATGGATGGACCTACATCATGAGTTAATAAACAGAATAGAAGCCACCAACATACAGTCATTTCTGTCTATAGAATCCTCTTCCAAATACTTCCAGTTCATTGAGAGATGTCAGTCAAAAACAAACATCAGCAGGTTTTTTTTTTCCTGTACAAATTCAATTTCAAGTCTCAAAGCTGTTGTGGCTTGTTAATTACAAAACATATAAATATGATTAAATACTGAATTAGATTCATTAGAATTAATCACATTTAGCAGTGTCCCGACTCTCACATTTTGTTTTCACCCTACTTAAAATAACAGAATTTTGATATAATTTGTTGAATATTCATTCAGTTAATTTGTAGCACAAAAAAACTATATCAAATTAAATATTTAATTACATAATTTTTTTTACAATTATTATTATTATTATTATTATTATGACTATTAAATGTTTATTATTATTATTAAATATTTATTAGAATGTTATTTAAATTTATATAATTATATATTTATATTATTAAATATATTTATATATTTAGTAGTGTCCCACATTTTGCATGCAACACTGTTGGTTTACACTCTAGTTAAAATAACGCCATTATTTTGACATAAATTGTTGAATAATATACATTTAATTATTTTGCAACATAAAAATAAATATCAAATTAAAAATTTGAAAATATTTATTACATATTCATTAATAGTAATAATAATAATTTTAAATATTTTATTACATTAATAAGAACACATTTTGCATGCAACAGTTTTTTTAAAATAATGTCATTATTTGACAAATTGTTGAATATAAATTCAATTAATTTGTAGCAAATATCAATATATTTTTAAAAAACAAACATTATAATATAGTATTATAATAATTACACTGAACAAAATTATAAACGCAACACTTTTGTTTTTGCCCCCATTTTTCATGAGCTGAATTCAAAGATCTAAGACTTTTTCTATGTACACAAAAGGCCTATTTCTCTCAAATATTGTTCACAAATCTGTCTAAATCTGTGTTAGTGAGCACTTCTCCTTTGCCGAGATAATCCATCCACCTCACAGGTGTGGCATATCAAGATGCTGATTAGACAGCATTATTATTGCACAGGTGTGCCTTAGGCTCACATTTTAGAGTGGCCTTTTATTGTGGCCAGCTTAAGGCACACCTGTGCAATAATCATGTTGTCTAATCAGCATCTTGATATGCCTCACCTGTGAGGTGGATGGATTATCTTGGCAAAGGAGAAGTGCTCACTAACACAGATTTAGACAGATTTGTGAACAATATTTGAGAGAAATAGGCCTTTTGTGTACATAGAAAAAGTCTTAGATCTTTGAGTTCAGCTCATGAAAAATGGGGGCAAAAACAAAAGTGTTGCGTTTATAATTTTGTTCAGTGTATTATAATTACTTGTATTATAATTACTTATAATTATATATTATAATTATAAATAAGATTAAATATTTAAATTAATTAGAATTAGTAATATAATAGCATATGTTGACAAAATAGGCAAAAACATCCCATAGATTTATACTAAAGGAGGAACCACAGGCAAAAACAAAACTAGGTTAAGAAAGGATTTGATTTGTGTGTAATTCACCTTAATTCTGGGCATGGTGACGGTGGGCGGTCTGGCTTTGGCTATGAAGCTGTGAGAAGAGCCTCTCTCCACCACATGACTGGTGTAGGGCATGAACCTCCGGCCATCAGAGCCGAACACAAAGTCCTCTCTGAGAGCATCGATCAGGACGATCACCACCCGCTTGAACAAAGGCTCGGGAGCTTTTCTGGAGTTCGGCCCACTTCCTGCAGAACACATAACAACTCAAGAATCTCTGCTGCATGCGTGATCACCATGCATGTTATGAATTCTGATTTCAGAATTATAATTAGAGATTTTGAAAAAAGGGGATTTAGTTGTGAGGCTGAAATTAAAACACCTTAAACATTGGAATTAAATCCTCAATCTTAATCCCCAAGGGGCGATTTATTCAGATTTGGACATATAGAATAAAACAGACTGAGACATAGGTTATATTTAGCTGTTTTGCACAAAATTGGGGATAAAAAATTTAAGTAATAAAAGTATACAATTAAACATATTTATACGGGTCAAAGACGAAAGGTGGTTTTCAAACAACAAAACCATTTTTTTTCTTTACATTTTCTTTAAATTAAAATGTGTCCCATTCAATTTTTTTTCTTATCAAAAAATAATGACTATCATGCATTTTTACGCTGATTTACAGAATACACCCATGTAATTCAGTGTAACAATGGTTAATAATATACCAAGAAATCTTGTCAGGCATATTTAAAACAAGAATCATTAGATGACATTAAAAGCCCAAATACGAATTAATTGTGTTTTAAATCTTTAGCCATCTTTGCCACTATCCTTCAAACCACTAGGCTAGGTTTTACCCATCTGTCAGCAAGAAGTTTTTAATCATTTAAAATAAAATGAAATTTACTATGTTCACCTATTCTTTTATATATATTTTAATAAGTACAGGTCAGAATAAATATGTTGTTTATTTTTTACATAATTACATCTGTTGTGCTGAATGACAATGAAACATTATTTCACCCACATTTTACTTTCACAAAAATTAACTGAAACATTAAAGTAGACACTTTACTTGCATTTATGCATATATATACTTTCCATGTATATAAAATTACTTTAAATTTAATTTAATTTGATAAGACAGCAAAATGGAACAAATATAATGTACAATTGTACAAAATATTATAATTATACTATAAAAAATAACAAATATAAAGTGTGTGTGTGTATAGAATTAACTAAAAAGAATCTGAAAACTATGAATAATTAAATTATTTTACACATCAATTCAATAAATTAATAAATCCTAAAAAAAAAATTCAGTATCAATAATAAATTTTAAAAAAAATCTTTATATATTTTTAGCCTTAATACCTCACTAAAACCATCACCATCAACATAATAGTTAATAATTCTGAGTGTGTTTACCTGTCTGTGGCTCTGCAGGAAAATGAGGCACTTTGCTCTTGGCTGAAAAGGACGATTTGACAGGAACAGGGAAGAATCCTCGCAGGAAAAGAGCGATGGACACAATCTCACATATGAGACACAATAAAGCAAATAGTGATGAGCTCAGCTTCATGATGAAGATCAATAACAGTCATCAATAGCACTCATCACACTCATAAGACAACACAAACACTGGCATGTGTCCAGCCTGCTGTCTGATTTCTCACTGACCGCATTCAGCCGTCATTTTGAACTGAAACGACACCAAATCCACACGATTAATGAAGATTCTGCCGGATTAGTGTTTTGAAATTCCCATTTCCGTGTTGTGCCATGAGGGTCACTACGGCAACTCCGAAGGATCGTTCCTCAAAACGTTTTCAACGGTTCTCTTGACTCTTATTTTGTAATCAGAGCCAGAACTCTTTATTTAAATTATTTAATTTACGTTTAGAATACATTTAAACGTACTATGTACAGTTCTGAAATATCTAAAATTGTATTATAATTTATATAATAAATAACTATATAAAATGAAATGTCTCTTATTACATGAAGACTGTTAAATTTTTTTAACAAATTAGGCGGGAGGGAGAAAAATTAGGTTTCATTCTCGAAACTTATATTATGTCATAATTGCAAAATGTATTATTTTATTATTATGCAATTTAAACAACTGCATTACAGTAAGTGAAATGAAAAGTAAATGTGTGAGGTCATCGTTGCCATGGATAATTTATATAATAAATAACTATATAAAATGAAATGTCTCTTATTACATGAAGACTGTTAATTTTTTTAACAAATTAGGCGACAGGGAGAAAAATTAGGTTTCATTCTCGAAACTTATATTATGTCATAATTGCAAAATGTATTATTTTATTATTATGCAATTTAAACAACTGCATTACAGTAAGTGAAATGAAAAGTAAATGTGTGAGGTCATCAGTGGTTGCCATGGTAACATTTGTTATACTGGCGCATTATTTCTTTTTCGACATTGTCAAAAACACGTTTTATTTGTTAAGGAATTTAGACAGAGAAAAGCACAATCCAGCGGAATGAGCTGCGCAGTGTGTCATGCATTATTAAAGTGCTGCTGACTGGTAAAGTAATGTGTGTTTGTAAGCAGTGATTTAGTGATTGTGTTTGTCGAGGGAAATGGACTGCAGTGGACTGAAATCTGAGGAGAAAACCAGAACCTCAAAGCTCCTCAATGAAATAAACGAGATCTACGTTACCAAGATATCAGAGAAGAGGCATTGCAATCAGGTGATCTTAAATAAAAAAAAAAAGACAAGTAGTAAGAATAGAAATAGAAAATAGAGTGCAAGTGTTAGAGGATAAAGGGTTTTTTCTCTTAGAATTAGAATAGAGTGCTAGAGTTAGAGGGTCCAATGAATTTCATTCCAGTTCACTTTTTATATAATATGTGAAAAATATTTTATATTGTTTCATTGCATTTGGATGGATAAAATGTATTTATTTCGTTTAAGTAATATGGATATTAGCCTATATATATGTGTGTGTGTGTGTGTGTATATATATATATATATATATATATTCCAAAGCAGAGACTAGTTCTGACTCAGTGGAGAAGACAGTGATTCTGCTTAAAGAGAAAGCAGAAAGAGGAGATGCACAAGCCGCCTTCCTCCTGGGACAGTTACACTACGAGGAGGTGACTGATGCCTTAAACTCTCTCTCATTTATTCGGTTTCAACATGCAAAGACAGAATCATGTGAGAATTTGCTGTCAGCGTCACAGACAAACAGTATATTGATGCATAATAGTTACACCTCTCAGGAATACTCTGGTGTTCTGCAGGACCGCTACGCAGAAGCAGAGATCCTCTTTGATGGCATTAAAGATGAAGATCCTCGAGCTCTTCGTGTATCAGCTGGCTGTCATATATTACGATGGCCTTGGAACCAAAGAGGACCTTGTGAGGACCGTATTGTTATTATTATGATATCTCTCACATATACAGTAAATAGATCATCATTAATAGCATATAATGCTTTATATAATGTTACAACTTTCTATAATATATGCAAAAGCAGCTGAGATTTCCTTTATTATACTATTAATATCTCAGTAACACTTTACAATAAGATCTCATTTGTTATCATTTATGCATTACCTAACATGAACAATGAGCAATATATTTTCACAGCATTTATTAACCTGCGTTAATGTTTCCAATTTATAAAAATGTTCACAGTGCAGTAATTAATGTTAACAGATACAATGATCTTAAAACTGTATTAGTAAATGTTGAAATTAACATTTACTACGATTAATAAATGCTGCAGAATTATTGTTCATTGATAATGTTAACTAATGTAGTTAAATATTGTTTACAAAAGAAAGCTATTTGTAAAGTGTTATCTCATTGTAAAAGCTTAAGTAGGGTAACTTGTAATCTGTAACCTATTACATTTCCAAAGTAACCTTCCCAACACTGTTTATGAGTATAAGGTATGTGGTTGCAGTAGTATTACTAGAAGAGACTTTCATGTTTTGTTCTAACAGTTGCTAACAAGCTTGTAAATAAATCGTTTATAATAAATGTAAATAATTATAATAAGATAATACAGTCATTCAGTTAAAAATACATTCACTAATTTAGTAATAAATATTAATTATAAAAAATATTATAATATTATAATAAATTTCACCTATTTATAGTTGTTTAAGTCAAGAAACTTTTTCTTCCTATTTTTTCCGTCTTGCTACATATTGTTAGGAAAAATCTATAATGCATAGACCAAAATATCTGATGCTAACTAGAGCATCAGCTACAGTGCATCCACAAACCTCAGAACAGACCTTCAGGCTATTTTACTTAATATGCTTCATCTTTTGTTTTTTTATCTTTTATTTGTAATAGATCAACCTTTTAATAAGCATTAAATATTATATATACACTGCCATTAGAAAAAGTTTGGAGTCATAAGATTTTATTCTTATTCTCACCAAGGCTGCATTTATTTCATCAAACATACAGTAAAAACAGTGATATTGTAATATTATATTACAATTTAAAATATCTGTATTCTGTTTGAGAATATTTTAAAATGTAATTTATTCCTGTGATGCAAAGCTGAATTTTCAGCATCATTACTTCAGACTTCAGTGTCACATGATCCTTCAGATCCACTTTTGATTTACGATCATTACAAATACAAATTTAATTTCTAAAGCATATTTAAAACAACTGCCGTTGACCATTACTGTCAATTCAATGCATCTTTCAAAAAAAAAAAAAAAAAAACACTTTTGAATGGTATTTCAATTCAACATCATCTTGTTTCTTAAAGGGATAGTTCACCCAAAAATGTCATCATTTACTCACCCTCAAGTCCAAAACTGTAAGAGCTTCTGTCTAATGTTGAACATAAAATATACTTTGAAGAATGTAACTAACCAAACAGTTGATCCACAGTATGAAAAAAAAAAAAAAAGAATTAAATACTTTGAAAGTCAGTGGCTACCATCAACTGTTTGGTTACCAACATTCTTCAAAATTTCTTCTTTTGCGTTCAACAAAACAAAGTCATACAGGTTTGGAACAACTTGAGGGTAAATGATGACAGAATTTTCATTTTTGGGTGAACTATCCCTTTAAGTTTTAATCATCATCCAGAGATATAGAGATCTAATGCACACATGTTAAAATGTCTCTGTCTTCAGTCAAACTGATCGTGTGTTCATGTACTGCAGGTGTTCTCGTGGCAGTCTGGAGTCTCAGGGCGCTCTGGGCGTCATGTATCCATGCTCTGATCTGTACGGTCAAGGAGTGCGGAAGGACCCAGATGCTGCCCTGTTCTGCCTGAAGGAGGCAGCAGAGAGAAGAAACGTCTAAGCTCAGGGTCACCTGACGGCCTGCTACTACCACAGGAAGCTCTCTACTCCAGAGCAGCTGCCCTGGGAGAAAGGTACAGCGCATTATTCAGAAACTGTAAAGAACACCGTTCTGTTTTATGTAGTAAAAACAGGTTTGGTGTGACTCTCAGAGTGTGCAGATACGAGGACATCAGTGCCATAGCACGGCACACAGACTGTCTGGAGGAGTTCATCAGGAAGGGCATCGCTATAGCCATGTTTTACTCCGCGCGCTGCCTTCAGCTGGGCCGAGGCGTCCCGAAGAACAGAGACAGAGCAAAGGTACCGTTCGCCAGTTCACACAGGTACCATTCGTCAGTTCTTCTGCTGGACCTGTAAAAAGCACTGCTACTGAGAAGCAATGTGGGAAGAGTTTGGGACTTGCGTAAAAGATGTGGGTGACATTCGGAGGTCCAGTGGTACCTTAGTTTGATTTCTTGTTTTTCCTCCATCAGGCTGCCAGGATCGATCCGAAAATCTGTAAGGAGCTGCAAATGGACGTCGTACAAGGCAGGATATAAATCACACATGCAACAACAATCACTCATTTAATCTAATCACTGAAATTGATGAGTGGATTCAGATTTGACTGTTAAACTGACTGACTTCACTACACTTTGCACTAAGATGTCGTGTCATTATAATCCTTGATCCTTTTTTTTTTTGGATGCTGATGAATCTAAATGTTTAGTATTACGTTACTTGGCATATAAGAACAATGCAAAGGAAAATCTTTTAAAAATCTAGTAACTTCTAAGAAATGCAATCTTCATATTCAGGTTGTTTTTTGTTGGAAAGATTTTGCTTACATCTTAAATATGACTATAAAGTTTTCAAACATGTTCTATTAAAAAAAAAAAACATTTTAATAAACAATATTAAAATACTTCATAGGACTACTTTTTCAGATTTTTTCTTTGAAATATTTATAGATATAATTACCATTTAGATATTTTTGAAGAAAGAAAGAAAGAAAGAAAGGTATGAATTATTTTTTATATATATATATATATATATATTTACAGATATAGTTTCACCAACCAGATATAAAGAAAGATATTTTTGAAGAATTAATGAATAAAACAAACAAATAAATAAAAATTGATACTAAGAAACTGTATTAACGTTTAAGATATGAAATAAATAAAAACAATTGAAACTGTAAGAAACTGTATTAATGTTTAAGATATGAATTACATTTTAATGTATATATTTAATATTGCATTATATTAAAGACACGACACATGGCAAATCTTCTTTTGCAATTTATTGCTTATAAATGCTCTAGACTATTTTGGTAAAAATACAATTCTATAATAATAACAATATTAATAATAATAATAATAATATCACAAACAGAACCTTCACAATAACTGTACATGACATATTGCACGATTAAAAGCTTTCATAATGGTCACAATAATATGTAGAGAGTTTACAGTGGTCTGGGTTCTTCTTTTTACACATGTGTAACACTCGTTTCACTGTTATTCACATTACACAGCAAAACCCCCTAGAAGAAAACAAAAGAGAGAAAGAAAAGCAGAAGATGACAGCTGGCAGTGGACCTGGCCTGTTCTTCCAATCCCACACATCAACGGATTAAAACACTAACATATTCATGACGCTTCCTAGACCCAGCACTACAGAGTCAAGTGTTTCAGAAATAAAACAACAGAACAAAAAACTAAAAGAAACACCAAAAACAGCCATCCAGCACATTAGAGAAACACATCCTGAGCCTGTGATGTGCTGTGATGAAGTTCAGGCCTGTACGGCCTCCACGCTCAGCTCGGGATAGAGTTCTTTAAGCAGCATCTCCAACAAGATCTGAGGAGAAACAGAGAAACGATGCACACTCCGTGTATAATCACCAATACATTAATCAGCAACACTAGAGGTCTTCACAGGTCCACTTGGATCCAAAATCCCGAGGTCCGACCCGAGCGGGTTCGGGTCTAAAATTTATATTTTCATAAAAGCCGAGTTTTATAATGTTATTTGTTGTAATAACTGACAACACATTTGCCAAATGTGATTATTGTTTCATTTTCAGAAATCATGAGATTAATTATGATTATTTTACTGAGCCCTAATTTTTTTAAGAGTAAGAAATAACTAAATCTGTAGTTAATACTGTAGAAAAACCATGGGTTATTTTGTAATGGTTCTACTGCAAATGTTGTGGTAAACCATAGTTCATTTTGCAATTACTATAGTTTTCTACAAAAACCATAGATAAATCATGGTTACTGCAGTAAAACCATGGTTAATTTCGTAGTTACTATGGTTTTACTACAAAAACCATGGTTCATTTTATAGTTACTATGGTTTTACTACAAAACCCATATTAAACCATGGTTTATTATGTAGTTACTATGGTTTTACTACAAAAACCATAGTTTAACTATGGTTACTGTAGTAAAACCATGGTTCATTTTGTAGTTACTATGGTTTTACTACAAAACCCATAGTTAAACCATGGTTAATTTTCGTAAGGGGAGTGCCTCGGACACGGGTCGGTTCGGTATTAGCGGCCTCGGGTAATTTAAAATAAATGTGCTTTTTTTTTTCCAAATGGACCCGATAAGACCTGAATTTCTTTTAAACTATCCCGGATGTGTACTTGCACGTTCGCGTTAAGTGAGAAACGCACATAGAAAAGGAGCATACGTTTGTAACCTCGCCAACAGAAATCCATTTTATAGACATGAGATCCATCAGGAAAATCCACTCGCTTCATTACGCTGCGTATTCATTGCAGGGCTTTTCTTTTTTGTGTGCAGAAGCCTTTCGCCGGAGATTAGGTTGCAGACAACACTAGCGAAGCAATGAATTATGCTATGATCATTAGTTATGATTTAGATTAGCCAAGAAAAGCTATCGATTTAATTATCAAACTATCACGTTTATTTTTCAAATCCACTGGTCACACTCACAACTTAAAGCCGAACTCAGAAATAACTTGTATCCATCAGGCAGGCAATAATATAGCCTAAAATTAAACAAAATTAAATAAATGTTAAATAAAATAAAGTAATGGAGAAGCGGCCAAATCAGTCAGCAGGACGCCGGGATTTTCCTGACTGACTGCAGGGCTGCAGGCTGTGCACACGTCAATGCTGTTTACGTTCGGGTCCAGTCGGGTTCGAAAATAAATGCAGTCGGGTCGGACTCGGGTCTAATTTCATCGGGTCTGTCTCGGGTCGGGTTTTTCTTTTCTTTTTTAAATAATTTATGCACTTCGGGTTCGTGCAAGAAGTGATTCGGGTCGAGTACAGATTTTAGGACCCGAGAAGACCTCTAAGCAACACTCATTAATCATCAATCATTCATTCCACCATTAGATGGCGCTACAGTATCATCACTTAATAAAACCATCAACCTGGAAGCTGGATAACAGCAATATTATAAAGCACCATATTTTAAAACATTTTAGAATAAATTTAAATTAAGCTTAAAAATGTGGCATATTCACAGTTAATTAGAAAAAAAACAGCTGGCTTCCACAAGATAACTTCCCTTTAATTTAGTTTTCGGAAAATAACGTTTTGTTTGTTTTTCAATGTATACTCATTTATTAAAGATGTAAGCAAAATCTCTCTAAAAAATAAAGTCAACTTGAATATGAAGATGGCCTTTATTACATTAGCAGAAAGGTTGTTTCAGAGGCAAAGAAAGCTAATCCAATTCAATGACGATTACATTTCCTTCAAATAACGTGTGCTGGATTATCTATAGAAACAGGGACGTTTATTTGGTAAAAAGTCCATCTGATCTTCATCTTGTCTTCAAATGAAGAGTGAAAAAAGCTTGAGTGACACTCCATTCAGGTTCATTCCTCTCACTTTCCCTTCGACAGATGTTAATCTGTCGTGTCATGAGAGAGTGTTTTCAACAGAAAGCAGAAACGAGTGCGTCCGCTGACTGAAAGGGAAAGCCTGAGATATAAACAAACTGGAGCCGGGTTAACGGTCAGTCGCAGAGCGTTGGGTGACTTACGTAGAGAAGATGTCTGTTGGCACTGGCCTCCTGAAGTGCATTAAAGATCCTGATGATCCCGTATCTCGCGTTCTGCTGCCCCACGAGATTCTGAAGTGCATCTAAACAACAAAAACAACCATTTTTGCTCTTATTACACAGACTCTGCTGTCTAACCTTCCAACGAGAGGTGAAATCTTCATTAAAAAGCAGTTTTGATCGTTGCTGGTCTCTGTGGTGTGGGCTGTGAAGCAGTATAGTGAAGTGCTCTGAGCTCAGGCTGGTGTAATTGCTCTCGCAGGAGTGGGTTTTAAGTGTCCCGCTCTAATTAAAAAGCATCAAGCAGCCAGAAACAGCCATGAAGCCTTTTACATTAACAGCCTCGCACTTTAGCACAAAATAAAACCTTTTAGTTTTTGTATTCATTTGAATTTAAAAAAAGTGTTTCAACAATATTAATTCATATATATATATTTATTTATATTTACAAATGGTCAACTAGGTCAGTAAATCTCAACCTTTTGGCATACCGGACCCCAGTCCAATTCAGAACCATCCTCAAGGACCCCCAGAACAAAATTGACTCATCTATGTATCATTTGTGTCTTTGTGAGGACCAAATGCAGTCAAGTATAATTCAAGTTAGCTGACTTGTCCAGTATTTGGCCATATCATCAGCTATATTGGATTTTTCTTTCATGGGAACATGTCATATCAAAATATACAAAATTTATACAAAAATTCATACTTTATACGGACCCCCTGGCCTTACGTCAAGGACCACTAGGGGTCCACGGACCCCTGGTTGAGAAACACTGAACTAGGTAGTACTGCCTTTTCATACCTATTGTCTATAATAACAACAGTTGTAAAAAAAAAAAGTACAATTAATAATAATAATAACAACAATAATGGTGTGACAGGAATTACTGTAATTACAAGGTTCCAACTTAAAAAAAAATGATGACTCATATTTTATATATATATATATATAAAAAAGACTTCTGTTACTAGAAAGACTTCTGTTACTGTTAAGTTTTCGTTAACTGAAATAAAGCTGGAAAAAAAAAATAACATAGATCAAATCAAATAAAACCTTTAAATTAAAAAACAAAAACCCCTTGAAAAAATGTATTAATAAATAAAATTAATAAAAACTGAAATGCCTTGGCAAATGACTATAATAATATAAGCTGAAGTACTAAAATGACTAAAACGGAAATAAAAATAAAGCTAAATAGAAATTTGAAGACAAAAGCACAAAGTTACTAAAACCTAAACTAAATTTAAAATGAAAACTGAAAATATAAAAAATAATTCAAAATATTATTAAATACTATAATAGTATGCTAAAATAACACTGTTCAGAATTTTCCGAGAGTATCTGGAAGTGAATTCATGTATTTTGCTGTCATCAAAAATATGGCCACACATGCATTCATTTGGACTCATCAGTTTCATATTTCTGCTCACCTGGGATGTTGTCTAGAAGCTTCTGTTGTGCTCTCTCCTTGGTTTCTCTGCGTTCACTCTCCGAGCGGCTTTTGTTATGAGGCGCAAGTTTCCCATTGGGCCAAAACGTGTCCCGGAATATATTAATATAGTAAACCAACATCTGCTCACTGAAGATCCAGTTTACAGTGTCTCTGATTTGCCTGCAGAGGACGAGAGAGAAAGATCAACTCAATGAGCTTGTCTAGCAAGTTTCCGTTATGTCCATCCATTAATGCTTACTTGTTTATAGTCCGTCCAAACGTGACCTGAACTAGTGCAATTAGTGTCTTCCGCACCCACTTAAACACTGCAGAGAGGAAAACACACAAGTAACATCAGAAACCTTCGGACTCAGAAAGAAAGAAAGAAATTGATACTTTTATTTAGCAAAGGATGCATTAAATTGATCAAAAGTGACAGTGAAGACATTTATAATGATGGTTCAGCTTGTGCTTCGTGTGTCTTTTTTCACATTTTTGCTCAGACTGGGCCTCTGAATAAAATGTAGGATTTTTTTCTTCCATCGAGTATGAGCTCCATATTCTTACTATATATATCATACTTTTATTTTTTTAGTTTTTTTTACATTTTGAGTTTTTTATATTTTCTCAGGACTTTCAATAAACTGTTCCATTAAAAAAAAAAAATTAGACTATTAAAAAAATGCCAGACTATTATTTCATATATCAAAATTTCAATATTTCTAGATCAAATAAAGTTGGTAACTTACTATACTTGCATTAGTGTTTCAATTCAGCATCAAAGTGGTTTTGTTTTTCCTGTAGTGTGACTTTATAAAGCAACGTTTATGTGTTGGGTGCTGTGCACTAGCCTTTAGCAGCAGACAGCAGACATGTGCACTTCAGCTAGAGAAACACTGTCCTGTGGTCTGTGATCTGATGAGTTTCACACTGTCACAGTCTGACTGCACACATTGCATCATTTCAGCAGTGTGTTGTACTCACTGCCCCTGAGTTCAAAGATCTCTCCGATCAGCATGAAGCAGGGCTCAGCCAGCGCATCCTTCCTCCCGTCTGTCTCATCGCCGTAGTCTGAGAGGTCGCTGTCATCCTCACCTTCATCCTGACACACACACACACACACACACAATCAGATTCATCACATCCCACCTGACATCTATGCCAAATCTCTGCAGCTTTTTATGATCGTCATTTAGTGGTTTGGTGAATGGTGTCAGTCAAATCAAATGTGTCTTTAAATGTAGTCTTCAATGGATAATTGTAGTGAATCACTGAAATGTTCATTATTTTATTTAATATAATTTAATGCACTGCAAAAAAAGATTTTCTGTCTTGTTTTTCAGTACAAATATCTAAACATTCTTATTGTAAATCAAGATACATTTACATGAGAAGCAAAATAACATAAGATTGCAAGTCGTGTTTCCTGAACCTTTTAAAACAAAAGCAAAATATCTGCCAGTAAAACCACTAAAACAAAAATATTTTCTAATTTAGTTTTAAGATTTTTAAGGTACCTTTTTCTTGGTTTAAGCATAAAGTCACTTCATTTCTTTGTAATTTGCTTCTTAAGTATATGTATCTTGATTTAAGTATTTTTAGATGCTTGTACTGGAAAATACTATAAGACAAAAATACTGAGGAAGTATTTTTATTTTGTATTTTTTTATTAATTTTTTTTTTGCAGTGTAAGAGTTATGTTATGCAAAATATTAAAGTGTTAATCAATATTTTGTCTTGTTTGATTTGCAGAAAAAAATATATATATTATACAAAATTATACCAAAAATAAATAATTAAAACAAAAATTAATTCAATTGGGGAAAACAGGGTTATTTTTCTTATGCTATAAGCAACTAGTTTTTTGATCCTGTTTTGTTACAAAAAAATGTTACAAAATTTCATAGATAGATAATAATGTTATGCTACTTTTAGTCTTGAGTAAGTGTATGTTGTTATAAGCATGTTTACGTTTTTTTGCTGAAAAACAGCTAGCACAGCTGAAAAAACTCATTTCACTCAGTATTTTCACTCATAATATTTTTCATTTAATTTATTTTTTAATATATTATACAAGCATGTATTCAGCAGGTGTGTGTGTGTGTGTGAGACAAATGTGTACCTAGACCGACGTGAGCTAAATCTGACAAAACCTCATTTTGAGGACATTCGGAGACTTCCTCATTTGTAAGAACAAGATTTTATTTTAATATTTTTAAATGCAAGTCTTCTGTGAGGGTGATGGCTCATAATTATCTGTAAAAACAATATAAGTCTATTGAATGTCCACATTAAAGGTGTCATGAGTTGAGAAATCAACTTTTACTTGAGCTTTTGATATATAAGAGATCATCGTACTAAAAGAATATCCTGTAAGTTTCAGAACTGAAAATGTCCTTGTTACTGAAATAAAAGCTTTTATTGACACCAGGCCCAGAGAACGCCAGATCCTGGAATGTGCCTATCTATGACAGGTTAAACACCACCTCCACAGAAGAATATCAACGCCTAATTCTGTAGCCCCGCCCACTGATCCGCGTATTGTGCAGTTCCTGGATGTGGAGGAACACAGTCGCTGCATAACCTTCCTTCGGATTCAGATATTAGGAATGCGTGGTTGAACTTTAATTTTAATGAAGTTTCAGCTCGTGAGTAAAACATTGAGCATCTGTTCGCTTCATTTTACCGCGGATTCCTTTGTAAACAAGACACAGGTCGATGCTGGATTTGCAGAGAGACTGAGATTAAAAAGCAATGCTGAGCCGTCTATATTGGATCCGACAGGAATGGCGCCGAACACTTATGTGTGTAAAAAATATTTGTACTGTCACTATTGCTTTTTTAGAGATTGCTTGAATGTCCTGATTATGTGTATGTGTCTAAAGTCACAGAAGGCTCCAACTATGAAGTTAGTTTGTAGTTAGTTTACGATGCAAAACTGTTATCCAATCATAACAGTGGGCGTTTACTTCCAAGTCTTCAGTGCGGCACGCCCATAAAACTGACCGTTTCTCAAGCCGGACTCAAAACCAAGGTAGAAAATAGCCTATTACTCATTGATTTGGATGTTTTTGAATGTAAAAACCAAGCGAACGTCATAAGTGGACCTCAGACAACAGTATAAGATAATAAAAAAAGCCAGTTCATGACCCCTTTAAGATAGCTAAGACAATGTGTGTGTGTGTGTGTGTGGGGGTGTGTACCTCCTGGTGTGAGAAGAAGTCTCCCGGCAGTCTCTCCAAGAAGGATGCGAGAGAGAAGGAGGATTTCTTCTGGATGCCGATGACCTTCAGCTGCTCTGGTGACGGACTGAGAAACGCGTACAGCGCCTCACTCTGACACATGCGCTCATCTGTCAACACTTTCTACAGAGGAAACACACACATTCAGACTAAACCTTCATGAATCTAAAAATATAATTCTTAAAATCACAGCCCTGAATCAAATGAGAGCAGAAATATACAGAAGCACAGATACAAATGCTTGGCCAAGCATACACTCCCGCTGTACATCATTGACTAATCAGAGGTCTGAAATGTGACAGAGCAGGTGGCTCAAAGTAAACTGACACAGTGGAGAGTAGCTTTAGTATGCATAGTAAGCATGATAATGATTTAAATCCCAAACATTTAAATCTTTAGTTAGAGCTAGATGATGATATATGTCTTAAATATGTCATTATATCAAAAAAATTAAATATCCAATAAAGATGATTGGAAAACAAAGCCAGTATCAGTCGGTAACAGATATGGTGCTGATATAAAGTAATTTTGATATTTTTGAAGTGCTTGAAGAAAAATGGTGGTATAAATGTCCAAACAAAAAATATAAAATTCAATGAAATTATAAAATACAATAAATTAAAAATAAAATTAAAATGGTTGGCATTAGTAGAATTTGGCATAATCTTTTGTTTATTATTAAGCAATTTTGTTTTCAAATGTTATTAATATTTATAATTAAAAAAAAACTAATGAAATGATTAAGGTCATTAAGTGTTTAAAACATCACATATTTTGGCCTTGTTCACGTCAAATATAGAAAACTTTCTGAAATTCATGACTCAAAAATTTATTTTAAATTCAGATTTTGTGTTTAAAAAATGTCGAAAATGTTCTGGAAATAAGTTTCCTGCAATAAGTTTGGATCAAATAGGCAAATTACTTTAATTAATTAATTCATTAAAAAAAAAACACACATCAATGGTTATTTGTTTTTACAAGCACATTCTTTGACATTCTTTATTTGTTTTGACATCACAATGGAACTTTCATCACATACAGGTAATAAAATTGAGAATATGAGACGGAAAAAAAATATTTTTGGAATTGAACCCTATGGAGAGAATGCTGATTTTAGTGAGCAGTGCTCAGGTTGAGACCCCGCTGAGATCTTCTATGAAGCTCTAGAGGAGACATTACTTTGGATGGACAGAATTTCAGAACACAAAGTCTACAGGCATTTTCCACCATTTATTTAAAGGGGTCCTATTATGCTTTTTCACTTTTTCAACTTTAGTTAGTCTGTAATGTTGCTGTTTGAGCATAAAAAAGATCTGCAAAGTTTTCAAAAACTACAACGAACGACTCGTTTGGACTACAACGCATATTTTCCGGGATTTGTGATATCACAAATACAGACGAATGGGACGAGACCTGGTTGAGCTGCACTAGAAAAGTGTTATCACTATGTCGGAGACACGCTAGCTTTCCCAAGGCAGACCAACGTAGAGTGGTTACAATCATCCGGGTTTAAATCGCACTCAAATTTATTTGATTTTGAGCAATATTTACACTGAAGCTCGCAGGCGGCTATGGTAAGGAGCATGACATTTCCCGACCAGGCGCCGAGTGGAGCCAATCACAACACACACTGGCCCAGCTAACCAATCACAGCACATTTCGTATTTCAGAAGGCGGGCCTTCATTTGATACAGGAACTATTCGAGCTGTTCATGCCAGACTGGGGAGAGAGGAGGTGTAAATAATGTAAAATATGTGAAAAATAATGTGTTTTTCGAACAACCTAGTATGAGAGCCTGTTTTAGTACACCCCCAAAACAAAATCAAGACTTTGTAAAAGAGCATAATAGGACCCCTTTAATGCTGACAAGTCTGGCTCCAATGAGACTAGGAAAGACTCACCTGTAAAAACGTGTTAAGTTGGTTTTTGGATTTGTCAAGGAATTTTTGGTCGATGGATTTGAACGGCAGTTTACTGAGTGAGGGAAGCTGGACTTTCTTGAGTGACGGAAAACACTGCAAAAGCAAAAGGGAAATAAGGATAAACGGTGTATAAAAAGCAGTCTGTGGTTTGTGTTCTGTCATGCATAATGTGTATCAGAACTAATAATGTACAACGACATGATGTGTCTCTATGTTGATTGCCGCAGCAACACGACGACGGATCAGTGGTATTTGAAACGCTACACCAGCACACGATATCACACATCAGAGGTGTGGCAGCCTACTGTAAATATCAGCTGTACCTCCGTCAGCTTCCTGTGCAAAGCCTGAAACTCGCAGAGCTTCCTGGAGACCGTCCAGCGGTTGTTCTTGCAGTCGTCGTCTTCAGAAAGGCTCACGGCTACAAAGTAGCACGCCATCTGCTCTCCATTCTCCTCAGAGGCCTACGAGATTCACACAAACGCAACAAATGAAGCCTTTGACTCCAAAACAATGGCTAGATATTTAGAAAACACAAAACTCTATATGTTTGAAAATGTTCACGAAAATACATTTCCTGCAATACGTTTCCTGTCAGTTTGTGAGATGACCCTAACCCTCAAAAAAAATTCTAATGGATATTATTATATTTATATTTAAATATATATTGTTTGTTTAATGGAACATTTCATATTTTAGGACAGATTTACATTTACAAATTCAACATTTACATTTACTGCACACTGTAATGGATCTGATGGATTCTGGCCAGAACTGAGACGACATGAAAACATAACAGATTCACTTCAGCTGAAACCAGTTGAAGCAACTGATTTATTTGAAGCTGTGTGTCATCTTACAGCCAATTAACAGAAAAATCGCTAATATCCGAATGACTCACTCCTGAGCAGAAATATGCAAATGGTGTGCTGTTAATCATCAAAAAAAAAAAAAAAGTAAAAATTATAAAAAATTATTGATGGGGCTCTTCACAACCAGCTGTTTACTTACACAGAACAGAGACGGTTCATTAAAATACTCTGATTACTCTACATGTAAAAAATATACAAACACAGGTGAACAGATTAGGATAAGATTTTTTTTTTTTCACAAAAGAAAAAAAAACTGATTTTAAATGATGAAAACAGTTGTCAAATTTCATTTGTTGTTCGATTCTAATACGGCGTGTCAAAAGACGTTGCATCAGGTTTGACTTCAGTTGTCAGTCCGCATTAGTCCTTGACATGCTACAGTATATAGATCAGTCACACAGCTTTAAAATAATCTGGAAAATTCCTCTAAGAGCACTGACACGATTACGGAGACTTTACTGAGATTGTGATGCTTTGTGAAGTTAAACAGATTGAATGACAGATGATTAAGGAGGATCGCAGGACTGCGTAAGATCTACTGACTGTGTTTGTAAAAGAGTCAAACACACAGGAAATGAACCACTGTGGCTTTAAGGAAAGAATGTTGTGACAGCCAAATAAAACACCACAGACAATCAGGCAAATGATGTTACAATATGTTGTGATGGCGATCACAGAACTGTAACAACTGATTGTAACAATGTAACAATTGCAAAAATGTAACAACTGACTGTAACAGTGAAGTCAGAATGTGTGAAAACACTGTTACTATGTCCCTGTTGCACTGTGTGGTTAAAATATTTATTTGATTCTTAAAATGTAATTCTTTTGAAGCAGAAGCACTTTGTGTTTCTGATGTAATTCCTGTGGTCGCAGTGAACAGCATATAAACAGGACTTTACCAAAAGTGACATCACATCCCTTTCTAGTAATGCTTGCATGCAGCATGGGAAAGTTAGCAGGTTTTCCAGGATTACCAGATTTACCAGCTTATCTTGGTCATGACAGAAAGATTAGATATAACTTTACATCGACAAGTTTAGCAAGTGTTTCTATCACACTAGTCTCATGCCAACACTTTTATTTTACTTTACTCTACTTTACTTTTTACTGATGGACAAGATTTATTTTCTTTTTTCCTTTTCCAAAATATTTTTATTGGGTTAAACGCAGGGTTTTTCTCGTTAACTAAACAAAAATTAAGTTAATGAAACATATAAATATTTTATTTTACTTCATTTATCATTTTAAGAAACAAACTTATTTCAGTTAAAATACAATAAAATAAAGTGTTAGCATGAGACTAGTGTGATAGAAACACTTGTATGAACAGAATTCTTAAAGTGAAAGCAAACTAATAATACATCTAATGCTGTCAAAGAAAAACACAAGTGCTCACTGCTGCTGACTAAATAACCTTTGTAACATCAAAAATGATTAATCTATATTTAATTTATACAGACATTTCTGTTGCGTATAACTATTTTTAGTTGTGAATGTCCCAATTGAGGTACAGGATGTGAAAATTTCAGATAAATGTTCATGTTATGTATTTTGGTTGCATTTGTGAGTTAATAAAAATGTAGATGGTTGTTTAAAATAGATATAATATCATAATATCGATATATCGATCGATATACTCCTGTAATCGTATCGTAGAATTTTTTGAGGTATCGGCAAATATCGTATCGCTGGGTATGAGAATCGATATTGTATCGTATCGTGACGAACCCTCCGATTTACACCCCTAATATTTACCTGTGCTCTTCAGCAGAAATTGAAATTTAAGTTATCAAACACTAAATTCTAAATTAAATATAGATGAATCCTTAAAGCTATAAAAGTTATTTTTTTCCTCTTTTTTTTCTTTGTCCTTTAAATAATAGACATTACAGCAGCTGGTTATTAGGTTGTTTTGGCTGCTATTTCTTTGACGCACTTCAGGTCTTAAAGTCTCTATTAATGAGCTGACGAGCAGTGACCTTGTCGCTAGATTTAGCGACTTTTCAGACCCCCCTGGCGACTTTTTTCCAAAAAAGCGACTAGCGACAAATCTAGCGACTTCTTGGACAAACCTTGGCGAGTCTCTGTGATCGCTGGTACTGACGCAACGGCACGAGGTCAGCGCGCACACACCTCTGTGTCTGTGTCTGCTCTGTTCAGTGACCGGCTGAGAGGAGCAGCGCCTTCAGTTAAAATAGATATTATGTTGCTTCTCTAATTTTACATGCAAATATAGCCAAAATCACAGCACTGGAATTGTCTGTGTCTTGTCTTTTCTTATGTGTGTTTCATTTCATCAGACGGTGGCTCAAATATAAAGCAGGATTTTGTGCAGATTAACGTCTTGGAAGGGAGAGCTGGTTATGTAGTCTTAAAGGGCCACGTTTCAGTCACTATTTCATATTTATTCCGTTTTTATTTATTTAAACAGTTTTATTGAGAATTTGGCTGCACTAAAATACAGTATGAGCACAAAGACAAACAAATGTAAAAGGCAACAGGCGCGATGACATCATGAATATGCTAATTAGCATATGACGTCATCTGGCGACATTTAGCGACTTTTCAAACTGGCTTTATCTACTTTCTATTGAAAGAAGTTGGCAACACTGCTGACGAGTTAAATCGGGTGTGTTAGATGAGTGAGACAGTGCTGGGCTGCTCCGGGACAGTTTTGAAAACCATTTCAGAGACATGTTCTTAAATGTGACTCATATAAAATATATTACATGCATGCACAGTTTTAAGGCAGCTTTAAGTTTAGTTGAAGTAATATCTAAAACTGAAATAAAATTAATAAAAACTAAATAGACTAATGAATGAAATAGACTACGGGGGGGGGAAATCACAACAAAATTACTGAAACTTTAACAAAATTTAAAATGAAAATGGAAAATATAAAAATAAAAATTCAAAAAATATCTATAGTATATTAAATACACTACAATAACAATGGTTAACTGCTAGGGGTGTGACGAGACATTTATCTCACGAGAACGAGACGAGATTTTTAGACTTTTTAAAAAAATCCTCAATGATGAAATATGTAGGGAAAATAGTCTTTTATTCAACTGAAAAACACAAAATGCAAAAAATGTAGGTGCATTTTGAAATCAACTTGTACTTTATGAAATTAAACTTCTATTTGAATGAATTATATGCAGTAATAAACAATATGTAAACACTGCTAAATGTTTTGCCACAAACTTAACTGACAGCCAAGTAATTGCACAAAAATTATAAATAGTATAAATACACACAGAATTATGTCAATAGTACCCGTCTCGACGATCATTCTCGTAAACGCAGTCGGTTATGTTTTAAATGAATGTAAACAGCTGAGAAAGAAATCTGATGTGTATCATTATACTGGATCCGTGCAGTCGGATTTAAAGGGCCAGCAGCCTATAAATACGTGCTGCTGAATACGTCACTAATGTTAACAAAACGGCTATAACAAAGATTAATCTAAATTTAATTCTTACAGTGAACACTATGCAGTGTTATTTTACACTTAATTATTACGTTTCTGTACCTGAATACTACTGTTTATTTTATCTATGCTTGTAAATTGTGTATTTCTTTTTTTTCTTTTACTGACTGTTCACTTGCCTTTAATCATGTTTGAACTTTCTCGGACTATAGTTTTTGCTGTGGTATATGAAGAAGTACTTAAAGTGTGTGGAAAGTAAAGTTACAATGATATAAAATTAGTGTCATTAATTTTTAAGTTTGCATGTTCACATTGATGTTAAATTACATTTTCTGATTTGTTACATTACTTTTTAAGTAATGCTAAAACATTTTCACTTTAAGAAGTTATAGTGATTCTTTATTTTCCAAGAACGAATGTGAAACAAATTGGTTATATCATTTTCATTTTTAAATATTTTAAAATATAATTTAAATTGATTTTACACACTTTAAGCAATATCGTATCGCATATCGAATATCGCAGTAATAAGCATTTCTGTACTTTTTGCACGCAAACATGTTTTGAAATTGAGGAAGACGAACTTAAAAGGACTGTTGAGCTCATAATACGTGCAATTGCTTATGCATTTGAGGCGATATGGCGAGGGAACTGAGCAGTACTAATGTTACGGGTGGAAGTCGTCGTGAACCTGCTGGTTTGGGGTGAAGAGCGGGTCGGAAACAACACGTGTTTACGTGGATACTCGTCAAGACCGTGATTCTAACATAATTTTCTGTGCATTTCGTCAAGAAGGCACGACAGAGATCTCAATTTGGTTCTCGCATATGCTGTCTGAGCTGTGGCTTTCTGCATGCGTGCGTGCGCACAGAAACGATCGATCTCGTCACCCCCCCTATTAACTGCCATTATGCCACAGATGCTGTTGCTTGAGCTAAACTTGTATTTAACCCGGAATGTTTTCCTGTACAGTATTCAGGACTGACCTCTGCGGTGTTGACGACGGCTCTCCAGGTGCCCAGGTTCTCACACCAGCAGTCCGTCCGTGAAATGTGCAGCTGGAGGTCACTGTGCTCCTTCTCCATGGCGCAGATTTCCTCCTTCAGTAGTGACACAATCTACAAGAAAGGCATTTTCATGAGTTCCAGCGCATCAGAAGTCTGTCGTAGGTCTCTGACCCTGACTGGTGCTTCATCTAACAGGAGACAGCAGCTGCTGCTCTGAAGGAGAATGGAAACGCTGACCCTGAGATCTCTGCCAGCACAGGAATAAAGAGACCCTCAGAGAACACAATGAGACCATGACAGAGAGAAATCGATTCCTGCCTCAGCTCATGGATCAAATCAAACCACACACAGTACAGACTGTATGAACTCCAAAACTTCAGTAGTCAACACCAGTACTAGTGACAAATTACATAAATAAATAGTTGTTTCAGGAGTTAAGATTGCATTTATTTGATCAAAAACACAGCAAAAACAGTAATAATGTGACATTTAAAATAACCGTTTTCTATTTTAATATATTTTAAGGCAAAGCTGAATGTTCAGCATCAGTCTTCAGTGTCACATGATCCTTTAGAAATCATTCTAATATGCTGATTTGCTGCTCAATAAACATTTCTGAACACGTTGAAAACAGTTGTGCTGCTAAATATTTTTGTGGAAACCATGAGACATATTGCCACTTTTGATCAATTTAATGCATCCTTGCTGAATAAAAGTATAGATTTCTTTAAAAAAAATAAATAAATCTTCCTCACCCCAAACTTTTGAACAGTAGTTTATCTATAAGCAGTGTCTAGTATAGCACAAAATAAAACTCCTAAAATCAATGTATTCTAATTCAAAAAGAACAAAACTGCAAACTGAAAACAGGTCGTTCAGACATCATTTATCAGCGTAGCTTCATCTACACCAGTAATATGTGGTTTTCAAAGGAAGTTCACACCAATATTTTCATCATGGCTGGCTTGGCCATTTATATTCAGTCCGCAGTGACCACTGGTTTGACCACAGTAACAGACCTGAGTCAGTT